TACAGGACCTAGTGTCCTGGGAACAAGGTGGAGTTGGATTACCTACTGCTTTTGTGGGCTTGCTCTCAGGTCCCCTCTCCCAGTACCCTACCTGTCATCTGATTATCAGGTGTCTTCACACTGTGCTGTAAGCCCAAAGTGACAAGGACTATGCACAGTCTGTGGTACACGGTAGATAACTCAAATGCTTGCTGAATAAATGCATGGTGCCACTGTTTATTATGCAGGGCCTATTTTAAGGCTCCAGGTTCCAGCCTGTCATAGTGGGGAAATCACGGGCAGGAGCTCCAGGAAGCTGGCCACCTTGCACCCGTCGTCAGGAACAGAGAACAATGAAAGAATGCACGCAGGCTGTTCCGTTCTCTTCCTCCAGTCAGGGGATGGTGGCGCCAACAGTGGGCAGGTCTCACCGCCTCAATGAAAGCAATCGAGATACCCCAACCCCCCAGGCATGCCAAGAGGTCTATCTCCCAGGTGATTCTAGATTTGGTCAAGCTGACAGTTAACGCAAGACGATCTCACACCGATTCAGGTGAACTGAAGGGCAGTGTTAGAGACGTCTACCGAAAGCATGTGATATTTGGCCATTTGCATTCGCCACAGTCCACAGACAGCCAAGCTCCAAATGGCCAGCTTCTCTTCCTGTGGCATCTGGTTTGATCCATATTCCCTCAGCAGAAAGCACGTCCTTAGACCGTGGAGACTGGGGCTTGTTCTCCGTTCCTGCGCCTGCGCACACTGAGGACCATCCAGGAAACTCAGCGAAGATCCTCAAACTGAAACAGAGAGCCGCAGAAACAGCTCATGTTCTCATCGCAGAGTGGGGTTTTGACTTTTCTAAATTCCTTCTCCTAGGTAGTGGAAAGAAATTGCTCTTTGGGAAGAAAGCCCACAAACTGGGGGGTGGGGGGAGGAGAAAAAGAAAAACATTTTGGGTTCCTGCCATACTGGGAATCACATAAGGGTGGCAAAATAGGAACATGAGCTGTGAAGGCTGGGAGAGAGCTGCACTCTTAGAAAGGGAGGTGATGCTGGGCAGCGGTGGTGCACGCCTTTAATCCAAGCACTCGGGAGGCAGAGGCAGGCAGATCTCTATGAGTTCTAGGCCAGCCTGGTCTACAGAGCGATATCAAGTACAGGCACCAAAACTACACAGATAAATCCGGTCTAGAAAAACCAAAAAAGAAAAAGAAAAAGAAAGGGAGGTGAGGACCAGTGTGCCTGTTAAGCTGGCCACAGACTAAAGATCAGCCAAGAGTTGGCTGGACCCATGGCTGGCTGGAACTGGAAGCTGACTTCCTTCCTATCCTGTAGTCCACAAATGTGCCATCCAAGCAGACGGGGCAGCTGCACCCTGCATAGCCTTTCCCAGACAGCTGTTATTTTGACTCCTTCGTTCCTTGGTTTTATTTTTAACTTTCTTGTCATAGTTATTGTCATGGGGGGCCTGTCAGGCCTAGTGGGAGGAGACAAAACAAAAAAAAGAAAGTGGACGGCTAATTCTCTACAAAGTGACTAATTCTTTTCAAAGTGACGTGGAAGTTACCCCCATCACTTCTCCTTCTCTTTCCTTGGTGGAAGCTTAGATACACTTAGCAGCAAGGGTGTGTGGAATATGAGCGGCCAGGATTCCAGATTAGCAGTCTGTCTGTGATGCAGGATGGGAAAGCATAGAAAACGGGGCCCGAGGGTGGTCTCAGCAGAGGGAAGCACAGATCTGAGAAATGAAGAAGCCCGGGAGCCACCCTCTTCACCTGGATTTGCCCACCGCTTCCTCCACTCCTCTCTTGAAGATACCTTTACTGCAGGCATTTGTCATGAAGAGCCGAAGGAACTTTCTAGACTAAAATTGGCAAAGGCGATCAAAGTCCTGACTGACATTGGCTGAAGATACTCTGAAGCGAGCACCAGGTGTTGTGTCATAGCAAACTACAGGGGCCGCGCAAGATATCTGCCTGTTAATTCTCAGACCTCCTCACCAGAGCCAACAGGCTTCCTGAAGGTGGCTAAGAGCATCACCGCTCAGTGCACACCTGGGTTAGCCTCAGCCCACGCAGGCTGGTCCCACAAGACCTCACTCTTAACTTGCAGGCCAAATCAAAGATGGCAACGGCTTTCCTTATTTAGTTTGCTAACCTTTGCCACGGCCCTGACTTGGGTTTTTTTGGAGACAGGGGTTAGCACTATGTAGCCCAGGCTGACCCAAATTTGCAGTCCCCTGCCTCAGGCTCCCAGAGTTCTGGAATCATAGACTTGTGCCATTGCAGAGATCTGGTGTTTTGTCTTGTGGGGACAACAGGCTTCTTACGAAGACTGTGGAGAGGGACCTTCACAGTGTCTTTTCCATCTCTTCCTACTTAAGAGTCCAAACTTGCCGGCTGGCGGTAGCGCACATCTTCAATCCCAGCACTTGGGAGGCAGAAACAGGCGTATCTCTTAGTTTGAGGCTAGCCTGGTCTACAGCAGAGTGAGTTCCAGAACAGCCAGGGCTGCACAGAGAAATTCTGTCTTGAAAAAGCTAAAAGAAGAAAAAAAAAAAAAAAAAGAAGAGTCCAAACTGAACCTCCAACCCTTGTTCTGCAAGGTTGTAACAAGCATCTCCCAAGCAACCCCAAGTTTAATGTCTAACAAACCTGAATGTGCTGACTCCAGCCTATGAATGTAGCATTGTGGGAGGCTGAGGCAGGTGGATTGCAGTGAGTTTGAGGATAGCCTGGGCTATTTAGCCAAACCTTGTCTCAAAACACCACCACCACTACAAACTAACTAACAAAAGGAGCATCTTCTTCCTTTTTTATTTATGACGAGGATTTCTCTAGGTAGCTTGGGCCAGCCTTGAATTCATGATTTTCTGTCCCTGCCTCTCAGGTACTGGGATCAGAGGTGTGTGTGGGTGTATGGTCAAAGGTTTTTGTTTTTGTTTTTTCCCATACAGCAGGATTTGCCTGATTCCAGTGCAGTTGTACAGGGTATAGGGGAATAAGGAATAAACAGCAAAGGCCTGGAGTGTTCTGTGAATCAGCAGGAGAAGACATCCCCCTCCTCTGTGTAGGAGGCCCTTTAGAGTATTCTATTTTTAGGGAGCTGAGGATTTCCCAGAAGAGGCCAGGAAGGCTTAAAATTGAAGCCCTCTCTAGATGATTCTCATTTACTTAAGTTTACAGCTAGGGATATCCTTCACCCAAAGATAAAACTGTTAAGTAGCTTTACTTCTACAAACACGGAAGGGCCTAATATTGCCTGTTTGATTCCAATCTTAATGCCTTAATATCTAATGGCATCTCTCCCACCTCAATGTTTAATCAACTTTCCACTTCTGGGAGGAATCGGGACTAAGATAAAATACACACACCACTTACATTTGCCTTCTGTACACCTTTATCATTGATGATCTTAGACATTAGGAAACAGAATTCATAAATCTAATAGGCACAGACACAGGCTGTCTGTAGGAATTCTTTCTTCCTGGGGCACACCACTGATCTACACACGGTCATCTTAAAATGGAAAAATGATTCATGCGTGTGTACAGAACTCATTTCATTTTAAATGTGGCTTCCTTCCAATTAACATACTTATTTCTTCACCCAGGTGCATTTTTGGAGATGAATCCTCTGAGAAACCTGCAGCAGTTGGATTTAGCAGGGAATTGTGTGAGCAGTGATGGATGGCTTTCCTTCATGACTGTATTTGAGAATCTTAAACAATTAGTATTCTTTGACTTTAGTACTAAAGAGTTTTTACCAGATGCATCACTGGTGAGAAAACTTGGTCATGTGTTATCGAAGCTAACTTTTCTGCAAGAAGCAAGGCTCATTGGGTGGGATTTTGACGACTATGATATTAGTGTTATTAAAGGCACCTTTACGCTAGTAATTACTTAAAAGTACCCAAAGCCACCAAGTACTTTAGAGACTCCTTTACATTTAGTGGATCGTTACACATTTTGGAGAAGCTGGCTGGAGAGATGGCTCAGTGGTTATTACCACTGGCTGCTCTTCCAGAGGACTTGGTTTTGACTCCCAGCACCCACAAGGTGGGTCACAACCATCTGTAACTCCAGTTCCAGGGGAATTCAACACCATCTTCTACCTCCATGGGTACCAGGCAGGCAAGCGGTGCACATAAACATGCCAGCAAAAATACTAATACACATAAAATACAATTTAAAAATACTTTTATAAAAAATCCTGCGGAAGGAAGTCAAACATGACCAAGAAGGAGAAGGGGACTGAGAAACACGTTTGGTCTCAGCTCTCCACTTAGGACATCTGGATGCCCTTCAACTGATGTTCGTGTTCCTTGACCCTAAGCATATTGGGTCACGAAAACTTGATATTCTGTGTTCCTCTGTACTTAGTACAGCACCCGGCCTATAGACTCAACAAGTACTGATGAATATGTGACAACTAAATTACAAATAAATAAGCTAAAATTGTCCAGAGAACAAACTTCATATGTGCTATTTAATCCAACTGCTTTAATGAAAACACTTTTGGAGTGAATAGAGTACTTTCTCACATGACAAATGTTATCAAACTTGAAGGATAGGTGTTCTTTAAAACGAACAAACACTGATCTGTATATATGTAAGTGGTGTGGATGCCATGGTGTACATGCGGGGTCAAAGGGCAGCTTGTGGGAGTTGGCGTTCTCCTTCCTTCCAGAGGATGGAAGATCTAAGTCAGGTCACTGGGCTCTGTGGTGATAAGCATCTGTATCTGTTGAGCCGTCTACCAGCCCCAAACGGGCATCTGTGTCAAGCAAAAGTTGGCAGTTCAAAAGCAGCTCAACCTACTGGGTGGTGGTGGCACGCACCTCTAATCCAGCACTCGGGAGGCAGAGGCAGGCGGATCTCTGTGAGTTTGAGGCCAGCCTGAGTGAGTTCCATGACAGCCAGGGCTATACACAGAGAAACCCTGTCTCGAAAAACAAAAACCACACACACACACACACACACACACACACACACACACACACACACACACACGTTTTCTTCATAAAATCAAAAATTTTAAAGCTAGTTTATTAAAATGAGCCCAGAATTCCATTATTGTCAGTGTTTATGTAATGTACATATGTCAGTAAATTGCCATGTGTTTGTTTAAGCTCACTAAGAAGCTGCTGTGGAAGTAGGGTTGCCCCCACTCCCATTTCAGACCCAAACATGTTTGTCTCAAAGCGTCCTCCAAGGCCCCGTGTCTGGGGGTGGACTGTTGTGTGATATTTTTGTTTGTGTTCTGGCAAATAAAGCTTGCCTGGAGATCAGAGGGCGGATCTAGCCACTAGTCAATCATAGAGGCCAAGTGGTGGTGACTCACACCTTTAATCCTAGCACTAGGGGGGCTCATGCCTTTAATCCCAGCACAATCAGGAGGTGGAGACAGGAATATAAGGCGGGTGGAGACAGGATCTCAGGCCCATTTGGTCTGAGGATTCGTAGAGGTAAGAAGTCTCTAGTGGCTGCTGCTCTGCTTCTCTGATCTTCCAGGTTATTACCCCAATATCTGACTCCTGGCTTTAATTGATAAGACTAATTAGGATCACGATTCAATGGACTGGCCCTCTGACATTGTGATGGGGAAGGAGAACAGCAAAACAGTTCAAGGCTTAGTCCAGAGGTGGTGGCGCACGCCTTTAATCCCAGCACTCGAGGCAGAGCCAGGCGGATCTCTGTGAGTTCGAGGCCAGCCTGGGCTACCAAGTGAGTTCCAGGACAGGCTCCAAAGCTACACAGAGAAACCCTGTCTCGAAAAAACAAACAAACAAACAAAAAAACAGAAAAAAACAAACAAACAAAAACAAACCAGCTCAAGGCTAAACCACGTGTCCTTGAGAACAGCTAGGCGAGCCATTTCCAAGAGAGGTTACAATTGTTTGCCCCATGACACAGAAGTGCCCACAGAGGGAGAAGCTGCACACTCAGACATGGGAAGCTCGATCAGGAACTGTAGCTGGCCGCCTTACCGTCTCGAGTTGGTGCCTGTCGGGTGCGGTTGCCTCTCATTAGATGATTTCATCTCTGCTGCTATCTGACTCCACTTGGAATCCTCACTAGAAGGGACACTGCTCTGCCCAGACTCTACAAGAACTCCAGCCAGCTGCCTTTCAGGGCCTGCCCCAGTAGGATCCTGCTGATGTTTTGAGCACCCAATTGATGATGTCTTGCTATCTATCTTCATATCTCTTGCTCTTTATTCTTTTACCTTGACTTAATAAACTTACTCATTTACAACCAAAGTATGGCTATTGTAAGTCAATGGACAACCGACTAAATGTAACATGGAAAACTGGAATTTTTTTATAACTCATTCCTTGTTACCTATAGTTTAGTATTTGTAACCAAAATAAAACACTGAGAATAGTGGACTATTTACAAATGTACTACATTTGTAAATGAAAAAAACTTTATTTAAAACCTGTTACTTAAAAATTTAGACTATACCTGTATGGTGGCTCAAAACCTACAATCCCAGCACTTGGGAGACTGAAGAAGGAGGATTATGGGTTTGAAGCCAGCCTGGTCTATATAGAAGGACCCTGCTTCAAAAGACTAGTAAAAAGAATTCAATTGTGCTAGGTAGTAGACTATGTCTCACAATTCCCAATAAAAACGCTTACTTTTTATTTAACAAAAAATGGTTCAGGAGGATCTCAAAAAACGTAGCAATTAAGCTTAGAAAAGCTACAAAAGAGACTTTGACTTTTCAGATGGACACTTGGTTTCCACTTCCTGAAATGGGCAGCACACATGAAGCTCTGGAGGAGTGAAGTACTGTTGGTGAAGTGTGGATGCACACCCCACTTGGCTTTCCCATTAGAGGTGGGGTCACACCACACTGTGGGCGGCTACAAAACAGCTGACATTCCGGCTGAGAGAAACGGGCTTTTTGAAGGAAGCCTACTCAACACCCATGGCATTTTCAAAGACCCCACTGCCACAAGAGCATTTTACAAAAATAGAGTTTATAGGTTTAATGAAATATGAACTAACCTGCAGTAATCTGACACTTAAATGGGTGAACAGTCGATGCAGGATGGATTACGAAATACATGAGAAGCCTAGGAGTTGACATTCCCCATAACGACAAGGTAGAGTCCTTCAAGGTCTTGGCTGCCCCGTCCTGCTGTTTCCATACCTACTGGGTACATGTGGGAAGGTGGGCCTCAAGCCCTGGCCTGCTCCAATTCCTGGAGCTGCTAGTCCTTGGCTGAGCACACTGCTGTATGGTGTGTATCCACGATTAAGACCCAGACCATACGGCCTTGTCTGTGTGTTCAGGATAACTGGGCTCATGTTTTTCCCAGGGGTATTAAATGCAAACTCCGGAGGTGGGCTGGTAGGTTTGGATGGTGTTGACGTGACGGGGGTCATGTCATCAGTATGCTTCAAAAGAGGTATTGGGATTATGTGATGGTCTGAGAAGTGCAGGACGTTGGGGGCCACAGGCCCAGACAGTAAGGCAGGTCTAATCCAATCATCCTTGAAAATCTGAACAGTCAGAGTGGACACAAGTGTGTACAGCCTGCTGGTCACGTGAGCAAGAACCATCTGTTCATTGGCATCTCGTCGAATTCTTACATGTACTGATCCAGCCTGAAAGAGGGAAAAACAACAGACTGCTTAGAATTATAAGACTGAAAATTCTAATTTAGTCACAACTTGATTGGTACTTGGTATTTTCTTTAAAATAAGAAATAACATAGCATCTTGCTATTCACTACTGGTACTTATCAATGTAAAAGGTGAATGAAATGATTTGTGACCCTTTAAAAGACAGACTAGATGCAGCTCAGCTGACAGAATGCAAGCAAGGGCCCGGGTTTGATCCAGGTTTGTGCATAAACCAGGCACAGTGGTGCACATCTGAGACCCTGGCACTTGGGAAAGTACAGCGTGGCAATACAGAAAAGCTAGGATTCCATTACAGTGGCTGAAGACTTGAAAAGACAATTGCATCTGACCTAGAGCTGATAATTAAATGGAATTTCAAAGAGCAGGAAAAGAGATGGGGTGCAGTGGCTCATGGCTTTAGTCCCAGCACCTAGAGGCAGAGGCAGGAGGATCTCTGTGAGTTTGAGACCAGCCTGGGTTCAAATGAGAGACCCTGCCTCAATATGTAAGTTAGGAAATGATAAGAAAAATACCTGACATCAACCTCGGGCCTCTATATACCTGTCCACACACACACCACACACATACACATACACATGAAAATGCACAGTAGGGGAGTGTTGGTTGGTACAGTCATTATGCAAGGCAGTTTGATATTTTGTTTGTATTAAAAGCTGTAAAAATTTGATTATTCTATGATTCACAAAACTCACTTCTAGAAATTGTTTTCTTTTGTTTTGAGACAAGGTCTTGAACTCACAGAGGTCTACCTGCCTATGCTTCCTGAGTGCTGGAACTAAAGACATGTGCCATCATGCCTGGCTAAAAGTTACTCTAAAATTAATCATGGGGTGGTGGTGGCTGGTAGTGTTTAAGAGCACTGACTGCTCTTTGGGAAGACCTGGGTTCAATTCTCAGCACCCACATGGCAGCTTATAACTGTCTCCAGTTCCAGGGGACCTGATACCCATGGCAAAACACCAATGCACATACAATTAAAAAGAAAAAAGAAAAAGAAAAATCATGTAGGTATGTATAAAAATTATTTCAAAAACTGCTCATCATAGCCTATTTAAATAGGAAAAATGAAAAACAATCTAAATGAGCATTAGGGGACTCATAAGAGAATTCGAGGATATTTACACAAAACTCAGCAGCCATTAAAATAGATACTGGGGAGTCCAAGGGCGTGTCTTCGTGGCAGAGTACTTGTCTACCATATACAAGGCCCCGAGTGTGATCCCCAGTACCATCATACATACATACATACATACATACATACACCCAAATATTTTCACAAAAACAGACTATGACAACAAAACCGAAAGCCTGTAACTGTGTGTTGAAACTAAAGTGCTATGGAATCTATGAATCGAAAGCATAAGCTCTACGTCCTGAAAGGTGCCAGAATTGTGACGGGGAAGAACAAGGAGGCACCAGACCCCAACTGACCTAAAAACCCCAAAGCAGGTAAACAACAGCCACTGACTGGGAATCTTAGACATGCCACCTGAGAAAGGCCCTAGACACTGCGTCCGCAATGGCATCCGAAGCTCTGCAGTAGCTGGAGCCCTGTGACCTTACAAAACTAACCAGGCACAGCTCCTTTCTAGGACAAAGGCCCACATTAAGAGGAACTGGGGGGCTGGGGAGATGGCTCAGCGGTTAAGAGAACTGACTGCTCTTCCAGAGTTCCTGAGTTCAAGTCCCAGCACCCACATGGTGGCTCACAGCCATCTGTAATGGGATCTGATTCCCTCTTCTGGTGTGCATGAAGACAGGCCACTTATATACATGAATAAATAAATATTTTTTAAAAAGGAGAAGGAGAACAATGAAACAGTAGAGACCTCGGGTGGGGGAGGTTAAGCTGGCAGCAGAGCCAAGAGAAAGACAACACTTCCTCATTAGAACCCCATGCGTTTTTAAGTGCTGCTCTATGTAAGCTACTCCTCATTTTAAAGTCCAGGAAGGCATAACGACAAGCAACAGGGCCCGGCGGTGGTGGTGCACACCTTTAATCCCAGCACTTGGAAGACAGAGGCAGGAGGATCTCTGTGAGTTCGAGGCCAGCCTGGTCTACAGAGCGAGTTACAGGACAGCCAGAGCTACACATAGAAAGCCTGTCTTGAGAAACAAAAACAACAACAACAACAACAAAAAAGAGATTTTATGGGGTGGAGAGATGGCTCAGCAGTTAAGAGCACTCACTGCTCTTCCAAGAGGTCCTGAGTTTAATTCCCAGCAACCACATGGTGGCTCACAACCATCTATAGTGGGATCTGATGCCCTCTTCTGGTGTGCAGACATACATCATATATGTGGATAGAGCATTCATATATACAAAACAAATAACCGCCTCCCCCCAAAAAAAGATAAGCAACAGAAACCACCCCTTTAATCCCAGCACTTGAGAGGCAGAGGCAGGTGGATCTCTGTGAGTTCCAGGCCAGCCAGGTCTACACAGTGAGTTCCAGGCCAGCCTGGTCTACACAGTGAGTTCCAGGGTAGTCAAGGATACAGAGAAACCTTGTCTCAAAACAAACAAACAACAACAATGAAAAGAACAAACAAAAGGACATGTAAGCCAAATGTGACGGCGCATGCCTAGAAGGCTGGGAAAAGTCTTGGGAGCTCAAGGCTATCCTGGGCTACAAAAGTGTGTTCCAGAATAGCCTAGTCTGCAGAATGGGATGTTTCAAAAAAAAAAAACAAACAAAAATATATAGTAGGAGAGTATTTAATAACAGGGAAAACTGCGAGGCATGAGGTCCCAGATTCAATTCTCCACACCTACAACAACAACAACAACAACAAAAACCTCCAGTACTTTCAAGGTTAAATTAAAAAGAAGATAAAGAAAAAGACCCTCAATCTCAATAGACTAATTAAGCCTGTCAATATTTCATATGCTACTAAACAGAATAGAGAATCAAAGCTTCCATGAGAATGTTTAAAAGATTTTTTTTAAAATTTTGTGTGTATGAATGTTTTGCCTGCATGTCTATGTGCCATGTGTG